AAATCAAATTTTGAACTTGTGCCGACCGTGGGTCGATATTTACGGAAAGCCACTCTTAAATGATTTATGTAAGCGGGGTTTTCTAACCAAAACAAATCAAAACATGTCCGATTGTGTGCTGTGTTTTTCGTCGATCGAAAAGCAGAGCGATCGAAATCTTGTGCGGGGACGCGGAAAATTTAACGTGTACGAGGAAATTATTTCTTTACAATTTACTGTGCATGACACATCACATCATATTTGTAAACAGTGTCTGAGAAAACTACAAAAGTGGCGTGGACTTCGCACTAGGCAGCCATTTCGGAGAAAGCCAGCCAAAGAAACTAAAATCTTTATTTAGCCGTAACAAACAGAGGTCAAGAAAATTTAAACACTTTACAACTGCATCTGAAATCAAATCCTATCGGGAACACCCACAGAAGCATAAACCACAAGAAATGATTACTCAGTATGCATGTAACAAACCTGCTTCATGACCTCTAAATGAAAGACTTAGCGCGGCAAAAATGAGATTTACTCAGTCAAAGGTTAGAATGCTACATGCACTGTGTAGTGCTAGTAATCTTCGCGCGAGAGAGAAAAGAAGAAAAACCTCTGTTCAAGCAGACTCTCAAGGTCACGTTTCGCCCGTATCACGAGCTCATGATGTTTTGTTTGGCCTGTCAACTCTTATTTCTAACCGGATATTATTTCACAATTTATGCGAAATAGAATACCCTGCCAGCGGGACGCTGGAACACGATTACCGACGGCGTTACGCAGACGTCCCTTTTCCGCGTGCAACAAAGGAAATAGGAGACGTCTGCACACAGGCAAATTTCCCTTGCGATAAATTACAACTCATCAATCAGTTGTAAAGAAAGGCAATTCAAACTGAAGCAACCTTGGAAATTAATGTGGAAACCACGTGACTACTTCACCCTGTTTCAGCGTTAGTGCACTTGGATATCGAAAGCCGCTGACCGCAAGCTGTTACAGAAACATCTCACCTGAGGTCGACATAATTTGAAACTTCATTTTGGTTTGATTTCGTTTTTGGACAAAGGTACATTGCAAAGTCCCCGTGGCAAACGATGTATAGAAGGGAACGTTATACGGACAAGAGAGCTTAGGTTCAAATGAAAGTGTTGCTTCTGGCGTCCAGAAGGACTGGCCCGAGATCGCAAAAGGAATGTGCCATAGTACCATGTGAAAGGCATAGTGCAAGGTGCACCATGGGAGACCATCAACTCCGTACCCATTCCCTGAGTAAAGTCCATGAAAATCCCATTGGTCATTCAGCTCTGAATGAACGTGTTCTATGGCTTTCTCGGCTTGTAGTAACGCCTTCTGAGGGTCCAAACCTGAAATAAGATTGTTTCAAGATTTACATTAGCGTAGCACTCAAGAGTTACTCCTGTCAACTCTCTCTAAGAAGGGAACCGTTTGAACCATCCCTGAGTATACGTCTTACAGAGGTGTTCGCCTTTGAGAGAGTTAAAGAGGATTACTGAAGAACTGCGGGAAAAACCCTTACTGTCCTCTTTTAAGTGTCCATCGTCTACAAGTGTCTGTTAAGGGAGGGGTGCACTGTAATATGTCCTCGAAATCTGTTATGCAAGAAACGCTTCGTCTTCTCTTAGTGGGACGGAGGAAGTACATCAGTTGCAGGGAAATAATTTTTCGGACTATTTTCAATGACTAGAAGTAATTCAGAGAAACATGTACTGTGTAGTCACTGTTTAACGATCATCACTGAGCTTTACTGGGTGAGAACCTTTTTTAGGTGTGGCAAGCTCTCTTTCCAGCCTCGCTTAGCCGAAGTAGAGGCGATAAGCTCGAGCTGTGAAATCTAATTACTTTTTTTGTCAGGGGAGGTTTGAAAAGTTTGAGGGTACAGAAACATTATTACCGTAATCTGATGATGTATTCGGGGAAAACGAGGGAGGACTGGGAACGCCTGGAACAGGCTACATTCCTCTATAACCGCGCGCAATGGATGGCGTTTTCCCACATTACGTGTTATGCACGAACCTACATTCTTACAGGAATGAACGAACGAATGAACCAAAGACCAATTTATTCAGGTTAACGTGGTCAAGTTTTCTCAGCTGGCTAATTGTAATACAATCAACTTCCAGGTCAATGATGTACTAGGCAGAAACCAAAACAAGCAAGACGACCATGTTCTTGCTGGCAATTATACAAGCTTACCCAAATGAAGTTGAAGAGTCGTCCAGTCAGGGTTGGCGCCCATCCAGATTGACTTGTGTAGCGCCACCAACTCGTTTAACACCTTAGTACTGATATCCTTGGGACATGAGCCCACGCTCTTGTTAGTTGGGTGGTCAGTAGCCATCACTCGGAGCCCATTTGGCGTATCGTTGATTTCAAGTTCTTTCATCAAACGAGATCTGAGCCTGTACACAGGGAATTAATAAAATGCGTTTGCTTCAATGGCCCTATTGTCCAATACATAACAATAACTTTATAAAGGAGAGAGACGGAACAACCTTTTACA